GAGCAGGGAAGGCGGGGAACGGGGGACTGCTCAGCAGCGTAAACTAGGAAACCTTGCTGTTTTCGCGTAAGTGGTGGTGCAGGAGGAAAATGTGTTCGAAATTAGGGATAGAGAGCCGCGCAGTTTGAAGCTACGGGCAGTCGATACCTAGCATAAATCGTGCTATGCAGCGGGACAGTGAAGGGATGGATGGGAGAAGACAAGAGAAGGGAGGGTGAAGGGGGAGGGTGGGGGGGAGAGCGAGAGCGAGGGACTCAGCCGGGGCGTGATGGCGAGATCGATGGGGTGACAAAAAACACTAAACCTTAGTTGCGTTCGCCACCAATTCCGCCGCTCGTGCAGTTCCTCTCTCGCTACACTTCTGATACAGACTCAAATGAAAAGTTTTGAATAGTATCAATAACTGTAAAGCTTAGTAGGCTCCTTAGTGATGGACAGGGGGACTAGGTGACAGTGGTGGACGAAGTGTAGGCATGCACTAGCGGGTAGAGTAAAGTAACGTATAGCGCATTCCCCCACTTGCGCGCTGGGTTGATTACACAGGGGCTTGTTTACTGGAAAACCACACTTCTTTTCCATTAGCGTCGTGCTTGGGTGCGCGAATGGTGGAGAACCTGCCATGGACTCAGAGTACAGAGTAAAAAGCAATACCTTTGGATCTTGGAGTACGCTTGCTTTAAAACGATAGAAAAAATCTTGCTATGCAAAAGGAGACACATTGCAGTCTGCTGCACAAGTGCTGCGTTATCTCACCAGGCGGCATCTCACCAGGCCCATCTCGCCTGGCGACATCTCACATGGCGGCATCTCACCAGGCCGCATCTCACCAGGCCGCATCTCACCTGGCCGCATCTCACATGGAAAAATCTTACCAAAAGGGATCTCACCAAGCGGAACCTCACCTGGCAGCATCTCAAATGAAGGCATTGTTATAATCACAATAGGTTGAGATGTGCCTATAATGAGAGTTAGAGAGCACAGTTGGATTTTCGATAGACGGCTTCAAATATTGATAACGATCTGCTCGCTACGTCAAACGGTGATCTGTAAGTTGTATCTGAAGCGCGTTGCTGTCTTCTATCAGCAGCAAGTTGAATCATGAAATTCCATGAAGATTTGACGACGCTATGGCGGTTTGACTGGCAGGAGGTATAGCAGCCACTATAGTCTTAGAAGTACAAACTTAGCAAGAAGAATTCGAGATGGAGATGGTTCCCAGCCTCTACATACCCCAAGAGCCGAGGTCCAGGTTGGTGGTACACCACCACAGAGTCCCCAACCATGAAGAGTCTCGAAATAAACCCTCCAAGGGGCTATACCAAGTGAAATGTAACACTACACGAAATAGCGTTACTATTTTCACTATTTAATATTTATCCGCGTCCCTTGGGCTTGAAATCTTGAGCTCTTGGTCTTCTGCAAGATAAATTCTTCTTGAGTTGATGGGGGCTTGCTGCACACAAATGCAACGCGATGGACACTTCACACTCGACAAAATAGAAAAAACACATGCGACACGCAAACGACGACTTGACATGCGAGTTGAAAAACTCGCTAATGTCTTGACCGACACAAACCACATTGTGATACACCATTCAAACACACACACAAGCACTAGATAGCAATAACATAGGCTCACAATTCATTCCATGCCATGCATGCACACACACAAACAAGGACGACAAGCCGAGTGCAAGCCATAGGGTTGCACCAACAGGCATCTCACTTGGCGGCATCTCACGTGGTGGCACCTCACCACCATCGCCTTAGCACTTGACGTTAGGCTTCGTACATACCATAGATCCACTTCTACATTTAAATCTTGGTATAGACTCACTACTTGATGTTAGTCTTGGTTCCTACCATGGATTTGGTAGTTAATGCTAGGCTTGGTACTTGCCACATAGTCGATACTTAATGTAAGGCTTGGTACAGATAATAAGTTCAGTACATCATGCTAAAAGCTTCGTACATACAAAGAGGTGTTACTGAGGCCACCACTGGTGCTCCACTGACCACGTTCCGCCGAGACCCTGTATATGGCCTATTTACGCCTGACACTGCGTCCCCTCCGGTGAGGGCGTCCCCCCCAGGTGCCTGCGTCGACCCAGGTTGCTGCGGCTTCCTCATGTCGGTAGCTCACTCACCCGTCGCTGCTGTGGCACCACCGCCTCGGTCACCCCGCACTCCTACATCTGCGTCACATGTCCCATTACGGTCTTGTCCCAAGTCTCCCTGCGTCACTCTCTGCCCTTCCTCCCTCGCATGCGCTGCCGTGCACACCTTGTGTCGAGGGCCGGCTGCGCCATGCTCCTCGTTCCTCCTCGCTTCCCCCTACCACTGTGCCACTTCAGACCCTGCACCTGGACGTCTGGGGCCTAGCCCCCATCCCTGAGCCGCGTCGCAAGCGCTACTTTCTAGTGCCTTTCGTCGACTATACACGCTACACCATGGTGTTTCCCTGGAGTGGAAGGCCGACGTGCGTGACATTCTTATCCCATGGGTCGTAGCTACGCGAGTCCACCACGGCCTCCTTGTGCTGTGTCTCCACTCCGACCGTGGCGGCGAGTTCGCCTCCGGTCGGCTTGGCCAGTTCTGTCCTGCGGAGGGCATCACCCAGTCATACACCCTGCCGGACTCCCCGCAAGAGAATGGGGTCGCTGAGCGACGCATTGGTTTGGTCATGGAGGTGGCTCGTACCTCCATGATCCATGCTGATGCACCCCATTTTCTATGGCCGTTCGCTGTTCTCTATGCCGCTCACCAGCTTAACATGTGGCCACACTCCCAGCGGCCGTAGGTATCGCCGACCCTTCTCTGGACCGGGTTCCCTGGTGACGCGTCTGCGTTCCATGTCTGGGGCTGCCTTGCTCACGTTTGTGCCTTTGGCACGGACAAGCTCACTGCCCGCACTGTCCCCTGTGTCTTCCTTGGCTTCCACCTCGACGCGTCTTACTGGCACTTTTACCACTCGCCGTCTCACCGCTTCTTTCACTCGCGTGATGTCACTTTTATGAGTCTGTCTCCTTCTACCACAGCTTTCCGCACCGAGGTCTACCGATTTCCCTGCCCCTGTTTTTGGTTCCCACTCCTCAGGCAGCCCCTGCTCCTCTCCCTCCCCGTCTTGCCCCGTCTGGTGTATCTCACGTCAATCCCCTCCTGTCGGTTGTCCCGGTCGAGGAGTCAGCTAACTCTGGTGGCCCCGCGGCACCGTTCTTGCCGCCTATCTATGCCCTGGTTTCTCCTCCTCCGCCGTCGCCGCAAGAGCAGCCGTCTTCGCCGTCGCAGCCATAGCAGCAGCTGCAGTCACCGCCGCCACAGCAGGAGCTGCCGCAGGGGTCCGCCAACTCTGGGGGTGTGGGCGTTGAGCAGGGTGCTAGTCCTGGGGTTACTATCGTGGCTTGTCCCGGCGGTCCTGGGGGTGGCACCAGTGCTGGGGAGGGAACTCGTTCTGGGGGTGCTGGTTTAGGGGGTGCTAGTCCTGGGGTTACTCTTGTGGCTTATGGTGGTCCAAGGGGTGGCACCGGTGCTGGAGAGGGTTCTCTTTCTGGGGGTGTTGGTGTGGAGAGTCCCGAAGGCTACCCTTGTGCAGCTGGAGGGTCTGGTGCCGGCATGGATCAGCAACAGCAGCAGCAATCACCACCGGTGTCTGCCCTTTGCCTCCTTGGTCTTCCCTCCCCTGACCACCCACCGGCCCCTCCCCAGCAGCCGCCTCCCCTGCCTATCTACGGCCCTGTGTTTTTGCTGCCGGACTCGCCTTTGGCTCGTTTCCCCCCTCGTTCTCCTCCTATGTCTCCTCCTCTGCCTCCTCATGTGTCTCCGGACCTGACGCCTCCGTCCCACTTCTGGTCTCGCCGTCCCTCTCGTGCCTGTCTTGTCTCTCCCGTTCAGCGTTCTCACCCTATGTTTCTCCATTCTCAGGCGTCTCATCCTCCTCTACTGCAGTGGCCTCCTCCGTCGTCGATTGTTGTCGCTCCGCCTCCTCTGTCTGACTACCTTCGTGCCGCTAGTCCTCTTGTTCTTCGAGTCCTTGCCTCCCTCGTTCCCGACCCATCTGTTCCAGTCTCGAGCCTTGACGCTCTTGTCGCAGCCATCGCTGACTTTGCCTCTACCCCCCGCCTTGACTACGCCACCGCTCTGGTCTCTGAACCTACCCGTCCTCTATCCATCGGGGGTGATCCTAACCCTCGGCAATGACGTTCTTGAGAACCGGCAGTACGAGCTTGCTTTCCTGTCCGAGGCCGCGCCTCATCTCTGCTCCATGCTGCTAGTCCCTGAGGGTGACCTAGCCGCCTTTGACATCCCGACCCCTCGCACTTAAGCTGAGGCGACCTCGGGACCCTGTGCCTCTCAGTGGATAGCTGCCATTGACGCAGAGATGGCATCTTGGAGATCCACCGGAACCTACGTCGACGCAGTTCTCCCACCTGGGATGAACGTAGTCAATGGCCGGTGGCTCTTCAAGGTGAAGCGCCCTCATGGAGAGCAGCCGGTGTTCAAGGCGCGCTACGTTGCTAGAGGCTTCAGTTAGCGCGAGGGTATTGACTTCTTTCAGACCTTCGCCCCGACCCCGAAGATGACCACTCTTCAGGCGCTGCTACACGTAGCAGCTTAGCGTGACTTCGAGCTGAACTCTCTGGACTTCTCCATTGCGTTTCACCAGGGCAGTTTACTAAAGCAGGTCAACCTTCGCCGCCTGCTGGGGTTCACCGGCACCTTCGCCCTGGGACCGAGTGGCTCCTCCGGCGCCCATTTTTCGGCCTGCGGCAGGCGCCCGTGAGTGGCACGACACAATGCATGCTACGTTAGCTGACTTACAGTTCGTCCTGTCACCTGTAAACCCTTCCACTCTTCGTCCGTTCATGACAGAACTTGTTCTACATCCTTGTCTACGTAGACAAAGACAGAGACACTCTGGCCTCAGTGAAGGCTGAGCTGCTGAGGAGTCACACCTGCACTGACCTAGGAGAGCTGCGCCGCTACCTTGGGTTGCCTCATGTACCCAGTGACTTGCACTCGTCTAGATCTAGATCTAGAGAGAGAGAGCAAGAGCAAGCGAGAGAGGAGAAAGAGAGAAAAGAGGAGAGAGAGAGAGAGAAGAGAGATAAAGAGGAGAGAGAGAGAGAGAGAGAGAGAGAGAGAGAGAGCAAGAGAGAGAGAGAGAGAGACAGAGAGAGAAAAAGAGCGATAGAGAGAGAGAGAGAAAGCGAGAGAGAGAGAGGAAGAGAGAGAGGAGAGAGAGAGAGAGAGAGAGAGAGAGAGAGAGGAGAGAGAAGCGAGCGAGAAAGAGAGTGAAAGAAAAAGAGAGAGAGAGTGAGAGAAAGAGTGAGAGAGAGAGAGAGCAAGAGTGA